TAAAACTATAATTTTTTTTGGAACAAGCAAAACTTTGATTATACAAAAAACAAGAGGATATATGGCGATCGCAAGAATCCAGCCAACAAACATAATCAACTAAAACAAGCAATGCATAATATTAATCTAATAATATTAAACTTAAGACTCTTACAAAACCAGCCCCTAAGCACAATCTTATCAATAATATCTTGAACTATACTATGCTTATCCACATTGTTACCAAAACAAACACCATTCTTATAATTCCAAACACCATACACTGTTTCTGTGGCTGCAAGTTTCAACAAGGTAGCTCTCCATCCCATGCCTTTCCCATGAGTGATAATCCATTGAAGCTCTTCATCCCACCCTTTAGAAACATGATACACTTGGATCCAACGAAGAACCCTACACTAGATTCTCTTTAGCTCCTCACACTCAAAGAACATATGCTTGATCGTTTCCTCCTTCCTACAAAAACTACACTTATTGTTATCAACCATACCTAAACTTAAACAATTTACTCTTTGTCGCTATTTTCATGTGGCACGCAAGCCAAAGGACCATAATAGCTCTAGGCCATGCATGGTTATTACGCAAAACCTTATTCCAACTCACATAAGGGTTATTGAACATAGAGAGATACACAAATTTCATATGGAATTTCTTTTTGGCATTCATGTCTTCCCACATGCTCACGTTGCTACCTATGAATTCCCATTGCTCTAGAATCTTCCTTATAATCCAGGTGCTACTAGCTTTAGCCTTGACTTCCATTATATCTTTTTTCTTAAGGTAATATAAATGAACCCATTAAACCCATAGACTATCTATCTTGTTACATATGTTCCAAATAAGCTTCAACATAGAACATATATTCCAGGACACTAAATCAATGATGCCTAGACCTTCCTACTTGACATGTTTATAGATAGCATTCCATGCAACGAGACCCTTCCTGCCAATGAAGTCTTCCCTGTCCAGAGAAAGAAACGACATATAACATCAATTTTCCTGATAACAACTTTATGAAGGGGGAAACACATGAGCCACTAATTAGTCATAGCAAAATATATACTTTTGATCAATTGTAATCTACCGGCATAGCTTAATAACTTGCCAGACCAGTGCTTAATCCGACAAACAATCTTCTCCATCAACACCATATAATGATAGATGGCTAACTTCTTGCACGTGAGGGGAACACCCATATACTTGAAGGGAAGGAAACCCTCTTTAAAAGAGGACATTCTGAGGGTCATGTTTTTAGTATATGCGTCTACAACACCAAAGTATATTTTGCTCTTAGCAGTGTTATTTTTCATGCCTGTTGAATTAGAGAAAGTGTATAAAGCTTTAATCATAAGGTCCACATATTGGAAGTCTCACATGGAAAACAAAAGGACATCATCAACAAATATCAAATTTGTTAGCTGCATCTTCTCACATTTTGGGTGGTGGTTGAAATTAGGATTGAGTTGCATTTGATGAAGGCATCTTTGGAGATATTTCTTTATGATAACAAAAAGATAAGGGGAAATAAGATCCTCTTGTCTTATTCCTCGATTATGCATCAACTGAGAAATAAAAACCCATTCACATTAAATATGTATGAGAATGTAGACACTACACTCATTATCCAGCTAATAAACTTGGAGGGCACACCAATTTCTTGCAGAATGCACTGTAAAGCCTACCAACTGACCATATCATAAGTTTTTTGCATGTCAAGTTGCACCATGCATCTAGGGCCACCCCTTTCCTGTTGTACCCTTTAATTAACTCATATGCTATCAATATATGGCTTTGAGTTTGCTGACCAGGGATAAAGGCAACCTGATTAAGGCTTATGACACTTCCAATCACTTGGCCCAGTCTAACTGTCATAACCCTGTATATTATCTTATATACTGCGGTGCAAATTGATATAGGCCTAAAGTCCTTTATACTTTTGGCAGAAATACTCTTAGGAATAAGGGACACTATAGTACAACTAAAAGCCTTGTACAATATACCCTTCTAAAAAAACTCTTGCACAACAACAATCGAGCCATCAAGGCCATGAGTAGTCATATCATTAATGCCTTTAAGGGAAAAAAATCTCATCCTCACTGACATGATTATCTAATCTCTACCTTTGCACCCTATTGAGTTGGGGACCCCTCCTCATAGCTCCCACATCAATACGATAAATCTCATCATCACTCTTTCCCATAAAACTCCAAGATTTCATTTTCAATCTTTGTCTGAGATGTTAAAGAGGAACCATCATCCTTCACCAACATGTTCATAGCCCTAGTGTTCTGCTTAGCTTTAACTAAAGCATGAAAAAAAGAGTTGTTACCATCTCCATCTTTTAGCCAATTAACTTCGGACCTTTGTCTCAAGATACACTCCTCAATATCATTCCATTTAACCAGATCATCAATACACTGCTTGACCTTTATAATTTTTCGACTGTTCATCCTGTCATCTGTCAACTCAGTTTGAGCTTCAATAAGCTCGTCTCTAGCTTGAAGAATGTTCTATTTAGCAAGGATAAGAGGCTTGTTCATCTTATACAAAATAGGTTGCAGTCTCTTTAATTTATGCCAAATACATATGCCTCCCTTCTAATGGAGCATTCCGGCTCTCTTTAATAACATCATTGTACCCTTCAACTTCTGTCACACAATTGACAAACCTAAACCTCATGAGGTGCTTAACAAGCCCAGGCTGACTGTAGAAATATTACAGAGCATGATCAGACACATGAGGAGGAAAATCTTAAGGGTAGTATTTAAATGGCTTTGAAGCCACTTAACATTCCCCAACACTCTATATATCCTGGAATAGATAGTCCTAACAAAATGCTTATTAGACCATGTGTAGTAGTCTCCATTGCTGTCCATTTCAGAGAGCTCTTTGTTATCCACAAGATCCTACAAATTTGAGTATTCAGCTTCAATGACCATACTACCCTTATTCTAGAGACTTTAGGACATTGTTAAAATCACCAATAAGGCACCACTGACCTTGCCAATGAATGTTGCCCTGATCCCTCTACAAAGTTTTCCTTTATCCCAACTTGTTCAAAGCATATACTGCAGTTAACCAGAACCTGAACGTCCCCTGAATATCAAATACTCCACAATGCACCATCTAATTAAAACAAGAAATGGCTTTTATATCAACCTTATTATGGTTCCACTGCACCCAGATTCTACCATTGTCGTGAAACATGTAGTTATCAACAAAAATACCACTAATGTTAAGTTTATTTCTAATGTAGTTAGCTTGACCAGGTTTGACTCTAGTCTCAATCAAGATGTTAATGATAGCCCTAAGCTCTAGGAGACGTGAGCTAATATACCTTATCTTACCTAACTTATTTAACCCCCTAACATTTCAGGAGACAATCATTATCCTTTGTTTTTAAGCACTAGCATATCATTCAAAATCTCTAGTGCATCAAAGCCATTTTCACATAAAACAGAACCTGATGGGTCTTATGGAATTACTCTCTTGCCATGATCCTTACCACTCTTGGTAACCTCTGTCCAATTCTCTTTGCCCTTTACATCTTTGTATGCACTTTTCTCCTTGACATGTGAAATTGTTGATATCTTACTCTCTTCTGGAGGCTTTGGTTTTGGCTTCCATTGCATCACCTTAGGTTTAGGTTTATCACAATTGTGACCAAATTTTTGGCATTTTCTACAAAACAAAGGTCTCCACTCGTATTCTATGACCTGCTGCATCTTCATTCCCTCACTGTCTCTGATGGTAACTTCTTTTGGTAACTACTTAGTGATATCCATTTCAACTAAAATCTAACATAGGAGACCCGAAACCTATTCGCTGTGCATTCGCCAGTCACTATCAGATTACATAAATCACTCCAAATCTTATTTAGACTTGTTTCTCCCTATAGTTACAAAGGGAGTTGATGTTGCTTAAACCAAATAGGAAGAGTTCTCAAAAGATCATTCTTCAGATTAAAATCTGGCTGCCATTCACGAATCAACAACGACATACTCCCATTGTATAGGGGCCCCTCATCAGCATGTTGTCCCTTTCTCTGAAAGACTTAAACCTAAGGATAAAGTATCCTTCCTCATGGTAGTACATGTCAAGAAATTTAACGAAATTCCAACTCTTACTCATAAAGTTCTTAACCGCGTTCATGCTCAGTTCGCCACCCAAAGCATACAACACAAGAGAAGATTCCCATAACTTGATTTCTGAGACAATATCTTCCACATCAATCTCAACCTCAATGTCACCATTCACAATCTTGGACGCTATGAATTTCACAGTCCTTCCTCTATCAGGATTCATGTTATCATTCAACACATCCACTTATAATTTCCTTACTTCATCAGTCTTCGATATTAAGGTTTCTTCAGAAGGGGATTCCTCTTCCACATATTCATTGGCCTTCTTACTTGAGCTAACTTGGTGAAACAATGCTTTAGGTTGTACAATCTTGCCAAACATAATATTTAGAATGACACATTCTGACATCGTCTTTTTCGTCCGCCCTCATCCATCCTCCTATTTCAATGTTTGATTTTATTAGTTTTGAATGAATGACATAAAAAATACAACTTTATTTCTATAATATTTATTTATTTATTTTAAACAAAAGTTTCGCATATATTCACAATCTCAAGTTTATTATTTAATTTTTAATCATAATTAAACACTTATTTTCAAAATGCAATACTTATAAAAGAATTTTTTTTTGCAAATTTATCTTCCTAATCATAATAAGCGTCCACAGTTTTTTTTTCTGATGCAGTTATTCCCGCTCATTTTCACATTACTCCATTTTTCGAATTGACCATCGCCGCTTCTCATTATTTTATTCTGCTACTTCCAAACACTATAATTTAATTCAAACTACCCTTTCCTTCGCCACCTCATCACTCGGTAAAAACAAATCTAACATTAAATTTTCTTTTTAATTTATTAAAATAATCCCCCAATTAATTAAAAAAAAAATAGAAATAAAATTTGAAATCAAACCATCTTCTTCTCTCTCTCTCTCTCTCTCTGTCTCTCTCTCTCTCTCCCTCTCCATTCTTCTTCCACTGATCTTCTTCTTCACTGCAACGATTCATCTTCCTTCAAAAATACGTAACAATAATAATCGCTCTGAGAATATTAATATCGAAAAGCATATACAGCGAACAAAGAAGAAAAAAAAAATAAAAAAGCTATGAGAACCAAATTTTACTCCATGTGAGAGTTCTGACACATTCTCTTCTTCTATTCTACCACGCTACGTAGATATTTGTATTTTCTTTTTTGAATTTACCGAGTCACCAACTCGGTGAGTGAGTGAGTGAGTTAACTGAATGGCGTCTTCTTCCCGAGCACGGAGTAGCTCACCGTTTTCTCATCGGAAACCTTCAACTCCTTATTCTTCCACTTCTTCGTCTTCTTCACTTACTAACGGAAGGATAATACCTCGTTCTTCCTCTTCCACTACGTCGTCGTTTTTTAACCCTGGAGGTCGATCCACGACTCCGGGTCGAGGTCGGAGTGAGTCAACGAATTACGGCTCGCGCGGTTATAGAGATCGTTCTCCGGTAGCGTTTGGAGCGGAGGAGTTGATTGTTGACCCCGTCGACGCGTCTAGGTCCGCGGATAGCATTTCCGTCACGATTCGGTTTCGGCCTTTGAGGTAATGCTTAGATCTGTGTTTTGCTTTCAGATCCATTGTTTAATGTGAGATTTATATATCATTGTTTGATTTGGTTGCAGTGAAAGAGAGTATAATAAAGGAGATGAGATCGCTTGGTATGCGGATGGGGATAAGATTGTTAGAAATGAATATAATCCAGCTACTGCTTATGCATTTGGTATGTTGTGTTCATGTTCTGATTATTGATTTTGTTGGAGTTTATTTCTTGTTTAGGCTAGGCTAATAGTTTTCATTAGGAAAGTCATTATTATGGTTTAGTGTAGAAACCAGAAATTGTGGCTGTTAATTTATGATTCTGATTTGATTCTCGACAGATAGAGTTTTTGGACCGCATACCGTATCAGATGAGGTGTATGAAGTAGCTGCCAAACCTGTGGTGAAGGCTGCCATGGAAGGCGTCAATGGTATGAAATGCTAATCTCTGGAGTCGAGACTAATTTAGAATGTCATGTGTGAGGAGAGTCTGATTTGCACTACCAAGCCAATCGAAGTTTTTTTAGTTTCATCTAATATCTTTATTAGAATTGTTAGGGTGACTAATGTGTCAGCTGAATTTTGAAGATCACTTTTTCCTTTTATAAAACTTTTTAGGTTAATGGAAAGTAACTTTAACTCTAAATATTTCAGGAACTGTGTTTGCCTATGGTGTGACCAGTAGTGGTAAGACACATACTATGCATGTAAGTGTCATTCTTTATCTAACTGCTTTTCGTTTTAATTTTATGTTTTCATTTGATGCTTTGTGCTGAAAACCAGAGAATCGTGTGTCACTTTTCATCAATCATCATATTGCAATTTTTTAGCTTGTTATTTAAATTAGAGTTTTCTCCGGTAATGTTAATGTTTGTTAAGTAAGGGCTGTCTGTTAGTAATGTTGTGCTGGTTTTGAGTTTTGAATACAACAGTGCTTATTTTATATGACAGCTTCTTCTTGTAAGTGCTTGCCTTTTGTACTTGTGCTACATGATGGCTACTTCTTGTAGTCTGGCTGTTGCTTGATGTTTTTGTAGCTAAAGACTACTTCTTGGAATATTAGTTTTTGGGCAATGTTTAAAGGGTTTTGATTTACGTACAGTTGTTACGGGCTTTTCTTCTTTTTTCCGGGGATTAGTAATTAGCAATCAATAACACCTGAGGCATCTTATATGATTCAGACTTTTTTTGGTGCAAACTGATAAATACCATTGATGGTTAAAAGGAATTTTAAAAAGAGTATGTACAGAAGAAGAATGCATGTTGCAACGAAAAGTGGAGAAAGTTTTGTATTTTGAATAATGGCAGTCAGCTAGGGAAAATTATTTTTGATGATTGAACTAACCATTTGATTTGTTATAGGAGCATAGTTGCTACAGTATGCATGCTTTATAGTTGAAACTTCAATTTTCTGTCCAGTAGTTTTGCTGACCCATTCTTGTTATATATTACTGATTAAAAATAAAAAAATGCCCCTGCTCCTGTGCTGTTGTTTTCCCTCCCCGTAGTTGAACCATAGGAAGTATGATGTTATAAACTTAGTATTTAAGATAGCTTGTTACCATGCTATAATGCATTCATCTGCAATTGCAAATAATAATGATAAGAAATCTGTTGTCTCCAATTGCAACATCACTATTGATTAGATATATTATTGTGTAACTGGCTCTGCTCTGTGTGTGTATGCAATAATGCAAATAATAGGAGTTATGCTTACTTATTTTAGGAAGCAACCATGTATATTAATCTGTGAAGTCTGACATGGTCAACACATGTGCTTCTGGTAACTTCTTCTTTAGAACTCCATGGTCAACACATGTGAATGCTTGGTTTACTAAGTTCACCAATGTTAGCACTCATATAGTTTGCGGTTCACATGATTTTCCTTTTCTGTGTGTATTCTGCAATAGTCATATTGGTATACTTTACTGCACAATTGTGTTTTTAATTTTGTTTTCAAAAATAATATTTGCAGGGTGATCATAATTCTCCCGGTATAATACCGTTAGCTATAAAGGATGTTTTCAGCATGATTCAAGATGTAAGTTTTCGTGCAAACTCAGTAATTTGATTTTAAATTTCATGCGTCAGCTGTTGCTCATTATATCGTGTTCAATGAAGTAGGCATGTCTCTGTACCCTTTTGTCACAATTGTCGTCTCTCTCTTTCTCTCGTGCGACAATGTGGGCACCACTCCCCCTTTCCCCGTGTGTTTGGTCAATTTTGTGCTCCTTTTATTAACTACTTATTTATTACAAGGATGTTTGAGCTCTATGTCTGGATTGGTAATTATTTATTTCTGTTTCAATTTGGCATGATCAGAAGTATCTCAGCCCATCTATATCTAATTGTACTTTTGCTGCAGACTCCAGGAAGAGAATTCTTACTTCGAGTGTCGTATCTAGAAATATACAATGAGGTAATGACTGAACATTATTTGCCAAATCATGCTTATGCTGAACATGGTTTAGTGTTTTCCTTCTCTTCAGTGATTGTGTGACATAGATTGTTACATTGTTGCATGCATATTGTGTTTGTGTGTGTACACATGTTGTTTCCAAGATATTTGTTTTAAATGGTATATGGCGGCTGTTTCTGCTTGGTTTCAGGTGATAAATGATTTGCTTGACCCAACCGGTCAAAATTTACGGGTCAGAGAAGATTCCCAGGTTTCTCGCTGTACACTTATCTTGTTTAAAATCTTAGTACTGTTGTTTTTCCATCTATTTTTGTATCTACCTATAATCACGAGTCTCTTATTCTATTTTAATTTGTTCTTGAATACACGACCACTGATATTTCCAATGCTCTTGGAATATAGAGTTTACGTGCTTTTGCATGATCATTGATGGTGTTCATCGTTAGAAGATTGAAGTTTTAATTTATCACCATCCTTTTCTTTCATAAAAATATTCAGTTTCATGTTAAAACAATGGGTTAGAATTCATTAAATAAAATTCAATTATGGCATTTGTGATTTGAAGAGTATTTAGAGAATCAATGTTGATTTAGAAGTTGGAAACACTTATTGTTTAGTTATGTTTCATTGGGATTATTCAATTATGGCGTTGGCTTGTAGGGAACTTATGTTGAGGGTATAAAGGAAGAGGTTGTTCTATCTCCTGGACATGCCCTTTCGTTTATTGCTGCTGGAGAAGGTAGTTACGTTGATAATGATAGTTACACACTTCCTCCAAATTGTTTTTCAATAGTATAAAATATTTTATTCGTGGATAATAATTGTATCAGAAGATTTTTTAACAAGCTTGTTTCTTTTTGTGGCAGAGCATCGTCATGTTGGATCAAATAACTTTAATCTCTTTAGCAGCCGGAGTCACACAATATTCACCCTGGTAAACTTGCTCGATATAACAGTATTAAAATTGTTATAAAACATATATTTTTTTACTTGTGTAAAAAAAATGAATTACATTCCAATGCAGTAAGTTATCAAATGTCTAAGCAGATTGCTGCACTTTCCTTTTATACATGTATGTTGGGATTGATTCATGATTAAATGACCAAAGTGTTAAATTATTTTGCAATTAATGTATTTTGTCATGAATGAAGCCTCATCAATGCTCATAATATATTTAAAATTTATTTTAAAATATAAATCTAAACTATATCTTAATTATTACAATTACAGATGGTTGAAAGCAGTGCCCACGGTGATGATTATGATGGAGTGATATTCTCTCAGCTTGTATGTAAAAATTATTTATGACTTAATATATATATATATATATATATATGGATCAATATTTTCATTTTCGCTTATGTCTTCTTTCAGAATTTGATTGATTTGGCTGGATCTGAAAGTTCCAAAACTGAAACAACTGGATTAAGAAGAAAAGAAGGATCTTACATCAACAAAAGTCTTTTGACACTTGGAACAGTAGGTGTCATACAATGTATATTTTTGTGACGGAGAAGTTTTGTCATGTCCTTTTTTAGTACCCGAGACCACCATTTTTAATTTATGTATGTTTAGCTAGGGGAAAGTTTTACTATGACATTATCTTTGTACACGACCACTAGTTTCAAAGCTTGCAATATCTTTTTAAAAGATATTTATAATGGCCTGAAAATGATGCATTTCAAAGCTTTTTTCTTTTTGTGCAAGCAAGCAGGCCAAAATAATTGTAGTTCATTGATAAATCTGTTAAATTTTGATGAAACATTTATCTGCCACACCGAACTACCTTTCAAGAAACGGTCTTTTGTATTGGGGGCTCAAGGATTGGGTGTTCTTTTATTTTTCGTTTTCCTTCTAGGGGAGGGCATGGGTTAATGTCTTGATTTTCTGATTTCTATGAAGGTTATAGGAAAATTGAGCGAGGGGAAAGCATCTCATGTTCCGTATCGAGATTCAAAGCTAACCCGCCTCTTGCAATCTTCTCTTAGTGGGCACGGCCATGTTTCAGTGAGTTTGGAATTCTATAGCATTTTTAATCATATGATTGTTGAACAGTAACTTTTGCTGTCACTTTTAACTTTATTATTCTAGGTTGCCATTCTATTTTAATATGCTACTTACTT